GGAAGTGTTTTATGACTATGAAACATTTCTTAAAACATAATCCCTCAATTTTACATGAAAAAGAAAGTTTAACCCTAACTTAAAGTGAATTGGTAATTTTTTTTAAATATTTCCTTTGTTCATTCTGGTTAAAAAATTTTTTTAAAATAGCCAAGAAATAATAATAAATTTCATTTGTGCGTTCTTTTTTTTTATTTTTATCATTAAAAAAAAAAAGCACAAACGCTGTAGTCCAGAATTTTTTTTAAATGATTTAGATATGAATATATTTCATTTTTATTTTCAACTAGCAGGTGGCACTTTAGGCACCTTTCTAAATGTTTTTCAGGCTATCTTCACCTGCTTTGTTGAAGTCTAAAAAAATTAAAGCTGAAACTTGGACAACCGAAGAGTAGTAACTTGTTCTTTTCGTCTGCTTGGCTTTTTCAGATGGAACCCTATAAATGTTTCATGTTAAATAGACTGATATAAAATATCGCTCCAAAAGCTCAGAAATGTTTTACAGTAAAAATACAATTATACTTTCCTCTTAACCACCTACACCAATGTAATCTCTGATTTATACTTTTCTGGGAATGGTTATACCCCAGTATCTCACAGTGCCAAGATTTTGTTGCCACACTCCAGTGATTCAGTGTTTTTGGTGTACCTGAATCCTGAAGAGAATCGTTCTGTCTTGGTTTATGTTCATGCTTTCCTGTTTAGCCATTACTAAATTGTCACAGACTTTAGTTCTAATATTGTAGTAAAAATACCAAGAATGGCAGGTTTCCAGCCACTGAGACAAACAGAAAGATTAACTTGGATGGAGTAGAGGCTGGTCTAGCCCTTAGAGCTCTGACTTTAAAGATGCAAGTCACTATTGGAATATAGGGTGTCCTGGGTTTAGAGGGCTTTTTAATGGCCAAATAAAAAATGTTTGCTGGTTTTAGAAATGGTTTACTTTAAATAGCCATAAATATCCAAAGGATCCACCTATAGCTAAAAGAATACATTAGAGTTAAAAGTGGATCATGCTGACCATGTTGATGTCTGGCTTCTTATGTCTTGGATACACCAGCAATAAGATCTCCATAATTCCTGATTCTGCTGTCTACTAAAATGTTGTACAGCACCTCTGGCTGCGTTCTGCTTAATATAAAATGAATAAAAACATTCAACACAGTGACTGCTGGAGCCTCTCATAATGATCACAGGCAGTGTGTGGCATAGAAAATGAAGGATACTCGCCAATCTCCCCAACTGGCTCCCCAAGAGACCTAAGAAACTCAAAGGTGGCTTAAAGACTAACTTTAGTGCCTCTTCTCTGTTTTTTTTTTTTTCTTTTGGTAACTTCACTTACCTGTCATGTAACATTGTCCTGGATTCATATATCCAACTGCCCAGTGGAAGTAGCGTTGTGATTTAGTATTCTGATTGTTCATCAATATTTATCTTCTCTTTTTAAGTGTTTTATATAATGAATAAGAGGGAAGAAATAGCCTACATGCATGCAGCAGTTGTTTTAGAAATGAATGTACTAAAATGGCTAGCCCTTTTTACATTTAGTGGATTCCTCTTTTGAAGCAAAGCTTGAAAACCATATGAGAGTGGGAGAAGCTCTTGGAAAGCCCCACAGCAGACCATCAGCACCATATTCCTATGCATTCCTCCTTATTTCATCCAGCTGCAATGACAGGTGATCTGTAAATCTATGGAAGTGCAGCATACTGAGGATCACAGAGCTGTTGCGTATTGACAACTTGGTATTCTCATTCTGCTATGTCAGTCATGGACTATGGCTCCAGGACTCCAAACGCACTGAACATATTAGGACTCAGGACAAGGCATAGTGTACCCAGTTTTCTGAGTGCTTCAACTTAGAGTCCCTGTCACCAGACCATTCATTTAAACAACACTCTTCCTATAATATTGCAGCATTTAAAGTTTCTATGCCCTTTTACTTACCTATAAAAGCTTTCCTTGTATAGATCTCCAAAGGCCCTGAGATTACTGCTGGGTGCTGCCATTTCGAAGGTGATGTTGGTGGCTCCAGCAAACTCAGCTGTCACTTAAGCGACACTCTCTATCAGTGTTTTGAGAACATTCGCTATTGTACAGCGCTGAGCAAATCCTTTGGCGCTATATAAATACTGTATAATAATAATAATTTATAATATGGAGGTCTCTTTTGGAATAACTCTTCGGTCTCTGGGAGCACCTTGTATTAATTACTACTTAATTAGGAACATTAGTATGATTGTGACTGGGAAATATGCGCCTTACACTTGTGGTCATTAGAAAGAATCCCCCTTATAGATCGCTAAAAAGATCAATGTTGTCAATGCTTGCTCATCTGAGAAATTGCTCAAGGATCCCATAGCAACCTCTGGAGGAACATTGGTTCAGAATGGCTGCTCTATAGTACCCTCCTTTGCTCCTCCCCCAGCAGCTACAGTACATAAATGATATTCTAGGGAGGTGGTTGGTGGCAGTGGCTCTTTAACTTCTTCATCATTATTATTATTATTATAATAATACAAGATTTATATAGCGCCAACAGTTTGCTCAGTGCTTTACAAAATGAAGGTAGACATTACAGTTACAATACAATTTGGTACAAAAGGAAACAGAGGGCCCTGCTCGTTATATTGACCAATGATAATTTAATAGATCTTGAAAAAGTCATCAAAGGCTATTAGATACATGTCAAACAAAAAGTTTACAGGTAATAGTTTGTACAGGGTTTACAGTGCAGTCAGTGGCACAACTAAATAATTACAAGCTCCAGTGTCCATTTTAGTCCAGGGCACCTGCTGTTGTCACTTATAGCTCTTTTTGTCCATCACACTAGTAAAGTAGCTATAGTGGATAAAATTGCAGTCCTGCGGGGAACATCCGTTTGCAATGCTGGCAAAACATTCCCCACAGCGGACATGGAAGCATCTAATAACAGTCAGTGTTTTATGCATCCCCGTCACTGAACAAATCAAATGAACAAGTGCAGTGGTTGTAAGGCGCCCTTGGTCCTTGTCAGCTGTGTGGGATCATTCTCCTGCTTAATCTCTTGCCATGCTCTGCAGAAGATTAACCACTGTTGTTACCGTACCTCTACTGTTGGTAGTAAAGTTTGGTGTGGGAACTGGGCCTAGGCCCACCTGTCGCAAGAACCATGTTGCAGTTGCTACTGCTGTAACTTTGGGCAATACATCACTGTGCTCCTATTTTGATTTTTTTTTTTTAAAGGGAATCTATCACAAAGCTTTTTTTTTTTTTTTTTTTTCTGTTTGCTGAACTCTGTTGAAAGCAATATGCTGTTGCAAATTGTTGCATACAAGTTAATTGGTCATAATATCCCACACAGTGACCTCATTATCCATTTCCATAGCCTTATGCTGTTGATCACTATTATTATAGTTTGCCTTTCGAGTTTCTTTAATCCCTTTTTTTTTTTTTTTTTTTTTTTTTTTTTACTAGCTGTAAATATTGGACTTGGAGAAGTCTATTTGTCAGACTTTTTTTTTTTTTTTTTTTTTTTAGAAAGAAACAGGGGGCTGGCATTTTTGTTATTTAAATGTAGTTTTCCTGAATTGTAACATACTGGAGGACAAAGACAACCTATTGATGGGGAATAAGTGGGAACGGGCTTCTAGTAAAAATAGCTAATTTAAAAAGTTGCCAGTAAATTAGTGCAGTATACCTACTGAACCGAATACAATGAAAATAACCAAGACTGAGTAATCCTACAGCTTCACGTTTATGTAGCCAAAGGCTTGTGGACACCTCTCCAAATTATTAAGGAACTCTGAGTGAAGAGTACTGTATTTCTACAGTATACAAAGACATGTTAGACAATTGTGTTCTTCTAACCATGTGAAGAAGGCCCTTTTCTGTTCCAGCATGACTGTACTCATGTGCACATAGCCAGGTCCATAAAGACATGGTATGATGAGTTTTATCATCTGCACAGAGCCCTGATATAAATTCTACTGAACAATGTCGGGATGAATTGGAACACCAGTTGTGAGGTTCTCTTTTCAAACATTGCTACCTGACCTCCTAATACTCTTTGATGAAGAGGTGCAACTTTCGATAGGCATACTCTAATGACTTGTAGAAAGCATAGAAAACTGAAGGTTATTATAGCAAGGGAGTAAAGGAGCAGCTCCAGACGAATGCCCTTGGTTTTGGAATAGGTTGTCCAACAAATTTACATGGTGTGAGGGTCTGGTGTCCACAACGTTTGGTCATATATCCTTGAAGAGTTTATGACCATAATAACCCCTTTATTGACTAGAGGCAATTACATCTTATCAGATATTTAAAGTAGTTCTAAAGACAAAAGGTTTTTTTTTTTTTTTTTTTTTTACCTTAATGCACTCTGCGTTTTAAGGTGAAAAAACCCTTTTGTGTGCAGCTCCCCTGCAACAACATCCCCGCCCCTCACCTATGCTTACTTGAGCCCAGGGGCGGACTGACAACTCATGGGGTCCCCTGGCAATAGAGGATCATGGGGCCCCTGTGTCCTTGCCCAAACTGAAAAAAGCCTATGAAAAAGGTACCAGGGGCATCTCATGGGGCCCCCTACTGACCCCGGGCCCTCAGGCAGAGCCCGAGTTTCCAAATGGTCAGTCCACCACTGCTTGAGCCCGATCTCAATCAAGCAATGTGCACGTAAGCAGCAGCTCTTTTGGCTCTCTCCCTTTTAATTGGCTTAGAGACAGTAACAGGAGCCATTGGCTTCTGCTGCTGTCAATCACAGCCAGTGAGGAGGAAGCAGGGGCAGGGCTGAGTCGCAGTCAGTGTACTTGCTATGAGGGCAGTCACTGGGGGGAGCCAGAAGCACTGGCAGGGGACCAAGAAGAGAATTGGGTCTGCTCTGTGCAAAACCATTGTACAGAGCAGGTAAGCATACAATATTTTAATTAAAAAAAATAGTATTTACACTTACTTTAAAGTCCAATTTGATGAATTATGTAGTTTGGAATGAACATTCTCTAACTGGTATTTCTCTCTTATAGGCTGTAAGTACATTGGCGGATGTTGCCTGCAAATGCCATGGGGTATCTGGTTCTTGCAGCCTGAAGACATGTTGGCTGCAACTTGCTGACTTCCGGAAGGTGGGAGACCTTTTAAAGGAGAAATATGACAGTGCTGCAGCAATGAAACTCAACAGCAGAGGAAAACTTGTGCAGGTGAACAACAAATTTAATTCCCCCACCACGAACGACCTGGTGTACATTGACCCAAGTCCGGATTATTGTGTTCGCAATGAAAGCACTGGTTCTTTAGGTACCCAGGGAAGGCTATGCAATAAAACATCGGAGGGCATGGATGGCTGTGAACTTATGTGCTGCGGTAGAGGCTACGATCAGTTCAAAACTGTTCAGACTGAGAGGTGCCACTGCAAGTTTCACTGGTGCTGTTACGTCAAATGCAAGAAATGTACCGAGATCGTTGACCAGTTTGTATGCAAGTAAGGCACAAAACTGTGGACTATGAACAATATTGAATATCCGCATTAATTTATAGAGGTCACTTAGGAGTTGCAAGCATACAGCAACTGGATCCATTCTCTTTAATTCACTCAGCCGCTCTTGGGGTAAAGTTTATAAAAAGAACAAAATAACAGACGATGAACTGAAAATATTTATTTACAGAAATAAAGACTTTTTATAAGTATATAATTAGATAAAGACCGAAATGCACGGGATTTAGAAAATGTATAGTAGGTAAAGACATGTTTATATGGAAGAGAGAGAGAGTAAAAAAAAAAAAAAACAAAAAAAGAAAAGCAAGGACAGATGGCCAAAGACTTTTTTTTTAAGATTGTATTTAAGCGGTTTATGGAGTTTTCACTCCTAAAATGCTCAGAATTCTGTCCATCAGATACAGAAGGTTTTTTTTTCTCTGGCAACATTTTATTTTCTTATTACAAAATACTATTTGATGTGTGATACCTCTTGAAAATGTTGGGATTGCACTTTGTATTTTTACATAAAGTTCGATTTGACATATTCATATTCAGACAGTCAAAAACTTACATAATTCAGATCAAAAATTATTACTTTTTTAATGATCACAGTCATTTTACTGTTTAAAAATAAGGGGGAAATATCAATCACCTCTATTTGCTAGTTTATGTTAGGATGTATTTTTTTCAGTTAAAGATTTCATCTGCTTGTCCCAGATAAGTGGCTGCACATTACTCAGAGAAATGTAGTCATATTTCATGCTGAACGTAGATTAAAATATTTAAAGATCCACTTCTTTATGAGCTAAAGCCATTTAAATAATACAAATTCCTAATATGCAGTTTTTTAACAAGTCATATGCTACATAATATTAATAGTATACACTAAACTTTACATACCATATGGTAACATTTATGGGAAGTTGTGGTCTGCTGTTTTCTATTTCAAAGCTTTTGTGACTATATGTATATATCCCTAAATATTGCCAGTAATTACATGTATTTATTTACCTAGGCATCTTTTCCTTTTTATTTCATAGTGACATTTTTTTTTATTTAAAAAAAAAAAAAAAAAATCATTTTGACATTTTTAATGACACATTATACAGCCTCTTTATTCCTTGGTGTCAGTTTTCAAAGGGCTTGTTCTGAACACATTAAAGCACATACTGATAAACGGTTCATGGGCTGTAGGGTATAGTGGAGTGTAGTGAGAGGGACAAAGGGTGAGTTTCACAAAGTATAATGCACTTAAAGCCATTTTTTTCCCCCACGGTATCATTACCTCCTTTTGGAAGGGCATTAAACATAAACAATATTTTTTAAAACAACTGTTTAAAAAAACCCTTAAAAAAAGTTTTTGATAATTTGTTCACATTTTAATTATCCAAAGTCCACAAATTGAATTTGTTTCTTTATCGCTGTGACTTTTCCTGTGTTCATTCAAATTTCCATCAAACCATGTAAACATTTTCCCCCTCACTTCTTTACAATAACTGAAACAAAGAAAAAAAAATAATTTATTGCAAATGTAGGAAGCTACCATAATGCAAAATTTTAGCACTGCAGAAGTGAAATGTTTTGGATTTATTATGAAAAAAGTACTTTTATATATTTTTTGACAGCAAGATTATTTTTTCTTGAATAATTTGTTTTACAGACAGAGCAAAATTTACCAATCCATATTCATTTGAATTATTTAATGTAAGATATTTTACTTGTCATCAAGAAATGTAAATCTATGTTTTTCTTTTCTTCTGTATGTTGTACATGTAATGTACATATTTTGCAGCCCTATATAATTTGTATATTTTTTCTGGCTTAAAAAAAAAGAGTTCCAACAAAAGGTACATGGCTTTTGCCACATTGAAAAAACAAAATACAAAATAAAAAAAAACTGATTATTATAAAGTGGTTTGATTTAACATTTATACAGAAAAGTGTTACATGGACTATTTTTTAAATTAATAGGAAAGCTTAAATATATTTATAGAAACATTTTTCCTTCCATGTGGCACTACTCAAATTTTCTCCTAAGTCTGACAATCGCCCTCTACGAAGTTTTGGAAACAAGGTCAAGGAACTCATATTATTTCAGATGTACGCAATTAAAATGTTTGTGTGTAAAGTTTGCATACATTTTGCTGCATTTGGAAAGGAATGTACTCTATTAAACCAGCGCAGCAGCCATTATCGTATTTAAACACCCAGATATTTTACAAATCCCAATTTGATTGTGATATTTATTTCAAATTGATTTTTTTTTCTTTTTCTTAGTGTTATTTATATTATGCTTTATTTTTTTTTAATTTTTGGAAATCTAAATTAAAACATAACTAAACCTAGGAACAAAAACTGAAAAAAAAAAAAAATAGCTTACCATTTCTTAGATGCGGTGGCTGCATTAGTTTTCAAACTAAGCACATTTTATTAAGTACAGAAAACACTTTCCTGCCAAGATCAGCAGGTAGTGTTCTTGTCACTTCCTATGAGCAAACTGCAAGCAGAAAACAATGCTACCTTTCTTTAGAAAACTACTAATCCCATCAACCCCTCCTCCTTGTAATGGAGATGAACAGATCAGGAGCTAATACAGCCATCTCTTTTAAGGATGAATAAGCTGCAATATATAAAATCTTTGTTTTTGGGTTTAGATATGCTTTAAAAATAACAAATAGAGCTATTGAAAATGGTTAGAAAAAGAGTTCAATAGTGCTAAAAACTATTTTTTTTTTTTTTTATACACCACTTATTTTTGAATAGTATTGGTATATGACAATTATTACTCACTTTTCTTTGTTTAGTAGTCCTGCACAACAGTTATGGATTCTCTTATTTTACCTTGTCTGACAAACAGAAGTGTTTAATGGTGTCTAATAATAGGTAATTGCAATAGGGAAGACAGCCAGAGACCAGGTGTTCTAGATTGTCTAGGTTTGGGTCACATGAGGATGTGTTTTTACATTTTTAATTCTTGGCAAGAGAAGTGGTACTTTTTTCACAATTTAATGTTCTCTGCCCCACTCATTCAAGAATCAAGTGTGAATTTCAATGATGATTCATTTTAAAGATAAAATGTGTTCTACTGTAGCTCATCCATCTTTAGATGTGGTGGATATATTTGGGTTTTTTTTTTTTTTCTTTTGTTTTAGGCCATATAGATTTTAGGCAAATACAGAAAATACCGGTTATTCACACTAAAAATGCAGTATCTAGTAATGTCCTGAGAACTGAAATGTCAAACCAGGGGCGGACTGACCATTTGGAAACTCTGGCACTGCCCAAGGGCCTGGGGTCAGTAGGGGGCCCCATGAGATGCCCCTGGTACCTTTTTCATAGGCTTTGAGTTTGGGCAAGGACACAGGGGCCCCATGATCCCCTATTGCCCGGGGGCCCCATGAGTTGTCAGTCCGCCCCTGTGTCAAACAACATTGCCTTCCAAGCTGTCTTCTGTAAAATGCAAATACCCAGCCTCCAATGTAATGAAGATGGAGAGAGAAGGCTGTGATTGTAGTCTGATTTAGAAGAGATGTCTGGGGTGACCATGCTGCTCCTCCTCTGATACAGTGTAGTGGGTGTTGTCACACTATGACAGGAAGTGTGTTATTGGTGCTGCAGTATATATAATATTGTTGTTTGCTTTTTATGCACTTTAATGTTTCATTCTAATGGATGAGCAGACCTTTGTGAAAGCTGCAAATGACAACTGGTTCTGTGCTTTTAACTTGGTTTGCTTGCTATATACATTATCAGCTGTTGATTTTGGCACTTTTCGTGTTTGCAAACATTATGGTATTGGCTGGAATTCTGTTTAAAATTAGCTTGAGTTTATAATAGGACTTCAAATTTAAATTTGACACATTAGAAGCAACATGTGCACAGTCCTATTCAACCTTTCCTACATAAGAAAATGACAACTACAGGGATGCCATTGGGATCGTGCCCAGAAAGAACCAGTAACTGCAAACAACTTGGCCTGGCATTTTAAGAAAGACTGTAATTATGGTCAGTGATGTCTTTGTTAAAGGAAGCATGTACGCTGATGGGTCTGTCTATTTTTGTTGTACTTTTTTTAATCTATAAATATTCAGCGATGCGCACGTAGTTCACCATATGTTATGGCACCATACATCCACGGCTATTTAGGTGAGAAACGTAGTTGTATAGTAGGATTTATTGGACATGGTCTTCACGTAGTTGTATTCTTAAGATGAGCACACAAAACAAAAGACTACCTTTTTAGAAAATCTTACCTAAAACCAGTCACAAATACATTTTAGAGTTAACACATTTTAATGCATAATATATTTCACAATAAAATTACACTTCTAATCCAACTAGCTACAGCTTATTGTTACAAAATCATTGTTGATCTGAGTCCGAGGTATGACAAAGATGCAGCCTGTAGTATCTGTATCAAAGAGGAGAACAGAAGACACATGTTGCGTACTTGCATTCCCAGTTTAATGTGAGCTTGTTAGTCTAATCTCCTGAAGTTGCACTACAAATCATTAGAGCTCCCTCTAGCTGCAGCCTAGCAATAGCATTACTGGGAGGTTTGTTCATTTACTTGCTATATAATTGCTCTGTGTTATCCATCATCATCCAGGCATACCCTTAGATGTTGGAAGGATGGATCGGACTTAGATAGCCAAGTCATTCTGGTAGTTTTCCCCTCCTTGTATCTGACTGATGAACCAAATGAACATTTCCCCTTTGGACTTTAATACAGCTCAATAGTATATTTGTGTGTGTATATGTATACAGTTTTAATTATATATATATATATATATATATATATATATATATATGTGTTGTGTGTGTGTGTGTGTGTGTGTGTGTATATATTGTAAGCTCCAAGGAGCAGGGCCCTCCTTTCCCTCTTGTATTGTTGCTGTATTGTCTCCCATTATATTGTAAAGCGCTGAGCAAACTGCTGGCGCTATATAAATCCTGTATAATAATGCTATGTGTGTGTGTGTATATAATGTGTGTGTGTGTGTGTGTGTATGTGTGTGTGTGTGTGTGTGTGTGTGTGTATATGTGTGTGTGTGTGTATATATGTGTGTGTGTGTGTGTATATATGTGTGTGTGTGTGTATGTATGTATATATATATATATATATATATATATATATATATATATATATATATATATATATATATATTATATTCTCAAAATTAAAAGGAACACTTTTTAATCAGAGCATAACATCAAGATAATCAAACTCCTGGGATATTGATCTAGTCAGTGAAGTAGTAGAGGGGGTTGTTAATCAGTTTCAGCTGCTTTGGTGTTAATTTCATTACCAGATGTACTAGATGGGCAACAATGAGACAAACCCCAAAACATGAATTGTTTTACAGGTGGAGGCCACTGACCTTTTTTCCCTACTCTTTTCTGACTGTTTTTCACTAGTTTTCGATTTGGCTAGGATCAATGTCACTACTGGTAGTATGAGGAGAGTCGTTGATCTTTTGTACGTTTGCTGGATTGAGATGGGGCCCAGTTAATTATTAGGGGGGACTGGGTGGGATGCTGCACATAGGTTTTTTACCTTCATGCATATTGTAGAATGCATGAAGGTAAAAAACCTTGAGCCTTTACTACCACTTTTAAAGTTCCAAAGGTAAATGTTCATTTGCAGATACTTTAATTGGTCTTTCTTCTACTTACAGTGTATCTGACTGTTCTTTTCTAGGAGCAATCAGGTTGTTTTCTCCCATTTCTCTGAGGATTGCAGTGATCTATCGGCCTCCTGGACCGGTGTCCCTCTTTCTTGATGATTTCTCCGCTTGGCTACCCTACTTTCTCTCCTCTGAACTACCCACTATCATTCTCAGAGATTTTAACATCCCTATTAATGTCAACAACCTGGCTACATCCCAACTCTTCAACATAACCTCATCTTTTGCATTAGCACAATGTATACAGTCCTCCACTCTGATGGGAATACATTAGACCTTGTTTTCTCCCATCTTTGCACTCCCTACAACCTCACAAACTCCCCATTTCCTCTCTCTGATCACAATCTCATCACCTTCACAGTGTCCTCGTCTTCAAACACCTATCCCTCCAAGCAGCAAACAATTACCCGCAGAAACCTTCACAACCTGAACCCTGCTCCTTTCCACTCTGCAACTGACCAACTCTATGACAGAATCTCTCCCCTGTCCTGCCCTGACCTGGCCATTTCTGTCTACAACAGTTCACTTTCATCCACCTTAGACTCACTTGCTCCTCTAACAACATGAAGCATCAGGCCCTGAACATTACAACCTTGGCAGACTGATGACACCAGAAATCCTGAACAACATAGTCGTGCACTGGAGTGATTGTGGTGTAAAACCAAATCTCAACAAGTATTCACCCTATATAAATCTGCTTTCTTAACATACAATTCCTACCTTCATGCTGCCAAACAAGCCTACTTTGTCACTCTTATTAACTGGTCATCCTGTCCTCATCGTCTCTTCTCTACTCTTAACTCTCTACTTTCTCCACCTCCACCCAGTACCTCACTCATTGCTCACGAGATTGCAAATAATTTCAAAAACAAGATTGACACAATTCGTAGGGACATTGCCACTGCACAGACATCCATCCCACTTAGCATACCTTTATACTAAACCTCCCTCAACACTTTCCTCTTTTGACCTTGCTACTACCGAAGAGGTCACTAAGGTTTTCTCAGAAGCCTGTCTCACTACCTGCCCCCTGGATCCTGTCCCCTCACAACTACTACGGTCACCCTCTTCTTCCGTCCTATGCTCCCTCACTCACATCTTCAATCTTTCCCTCTCTACTGGTGCCTTCCCCCTCCCCTCTAAAGCATGCACACATCACTCCCATACATAAAGCCCTCCCTGGACTCCACCAACCTGAACAACTTAAGACCCATCTCCCTGCTGCCATTTACCTCTAAACTCCTAGAACGCTTAGTCTACAATCGTCTAAGCTCCTATCTCACTGACAACAACCTTCTTGACCCTTTACAGTCTGGCTTTCGCTCACTACACTCCACTGAAATGGCCCTACTAAAACTCACTAATGATCTACTAACTGCTAAAACCAATGGCACTACTCCATACTCTTACTACTTGACCTCTCTGCGGCTTTGGATACGGTTGACCATCCCCTCCTCCTCAAAAAAAACTCCACTTATGTGGCCTCAGAAACTCTGCTCTCCCCTGGTTCTCCTCCTACCTATCGCAGCACTCCTTCAGCGTTACCTATAACGCTGCCTCCTCCTCTTCACTCCCTCTTTTTGTAGGGGTCCCTCAAGGTTCTGTCCTTGGACCCCTTCTCTTCTCCATCTACACCTCCTCCCTTGGTCACTTGATAAACTCCCTTGGCTTTAAGTACGATCTCTATGCTGATGACACACAAATATATCTTTCTACCCCTGACCTCACCCATTCAGTCTCCTCTCGCATTACTAACCTACTAAGTGACATATCGCCATGGATGTCACTCTACTTCCTCAACTCAATCTTTCCAAAACTGAGCTCTTAGTATTCCCTCCAGCCCGTGCCCCCTCCCCTGACTTCTCCATCAAGATCAATAACATAATCATCAGTCCCTTTCCTCATGCCAGGGTACTAGGTGTAATCCTAGACTCCCATCTGTCCTTTCAGTCCCAAATCCATTCACTGTCCAAATCTTGTAGACTTCACCTCCACAACATCTTCAAGATACGCCCATTCCTAACCTCAGAAACCACTAAGCAACTTATTCACTCCCTTGTTATATCTCACCTTGACTATTGTACCTCCCTCCTCATTGGCCTACCTAATCGCAGGCTATCCCCTCTTCAGTCTATCATGAATGCTGCTGCCAGACGTATCCACCTTACTAACCATTCTGTATCTGCCACCCCTCTCTGCCAATCCCTCCACTGGCTTCCCATTGCACAACGGATAAAATTCAAAAGATTAACAATAACGCATAAAGGCGTTTATAACTCTGCCCCAAATTACATCACCGATCTTGTCTCTAAATATCACCCAAACTGTACTCTCCGCTCCACACAAGCCCTCCTACTCTCTAGCTCCCTTGTCTCCTCCTCCCATGCTCATCTCCAGGACTTCTCCAGAGCTTCCCCCATCCTCTGGAACTTTCTACCCCAATTTATCAGACTATCGCCTACTCTGCTCACTTTTAGGCGATCTCTGAAAACCTCTCTTCAGGGAAGCCTATCCTGCCCTCAGCTAATAATGGAATCTTCTACTCTTCCAACCAGTCCATCCCCCACAGTTACTACCTTTTGTACCACTAGCCCCTCCCTCCTAGATTGTAAGCTCCAAGGAGCAGGGCCCTCCTTTCCCTCTTGTATTGAACTGTATTGTTGCTGTATTGTCTCCCGTTATATTGTAAAGCGCTGAGCAAACTGTTGGCGCTATATAAATCCTGTATAATAATAATTATGATCAAAATGTTCAGATA